GGCTCTTACTGACCCCTACCCACCTAAGACCTGCTCTGCTGCCAACTTGCCCTCCAGCCACCCATGATCACCTACATGGATAACCACCATGAGCTCTTCATACCATGTCTGACCCCCCAAACCATGCCCCTGTGTCCTCAACTGTCTGCCTAGGGAGATGGGGCAGTGAAGGGGAACAAGCTATAACAGATACGCTGAAAGAGCAGCAGGGGAATAACTCACCAGTATGATAGAATTTGCCCGAGAAGCCCAAGTTGAAGGTGAAGTTGGGGACTAGGGTCCTGAGTTTGTTCTGGGTGTTCAACAGGGCCTGGGAAGGGTAGCAGTGACATGAGAAATCAGGAGAGGGCAGACTGAGCAGGAGAAAAATGAGAAGCTGCGCTCTTCCGGCCTGCAGACGACAGGAGGTGTACCTATGAACAGCTCATAGTCAAGCAAGGGAGGGAGTCTGACAGGACAGAGCTTGAAATAGCTTCAAAAGCAAGAAACGTTGAGCTGGAAAAATAACACTAACCTCGACATCAGCCACCTTCATGCGGGTTCCTTCCTTGCCTACAAAGATGTCATCAATGTCTACTAAGATGTAGCGGTCAAGGTCCAAGCAGAGGCGTTTGCCAGTGAGGTATGCAACAGCATCGACGAAGACAAGTTTGTGGAGCCAAAAGGCAAGGCCATGGCCAAACAGGACCCTCTGGATGCCATCATGCAGCCCCAGGTCCTGTACCACAGTGGGAAGCCGGGCCCGGCGAGGTACCAGCCCTGGCATAGGTAGCTCTGCTGGCCGGAGGTTGGCCAGAAGCACTGGCTCATACGTACTATGATTGAATTGGAAGATGGTCCAGTCGTCACCAGGCAGTGGCCCCGGCTCCAGGCGACTGGGGCGTGTGAGATGCAGCAGGGGGGCTGAAGGATTGACCTGGTAGTCTTGAAGCCCCAAGTTTGAGTGTAGAAAAAGGGGAAAGCCTTTGAGCTGGGCGCTCAGGAGGCTGTGCTCATGGGCTCGGAAAAAGCCAATGATGCCCACACCATACTCCACGCAGTACCGGTCTAGCAGTTTCCGACTCGAGGCATCCAGATTGACGTACTTGAGCAGGTTCTCATAAATGACCAAGACATAGCGGCCCCGGGTATGGTCAGTCAGCGTGGGCATGTCCCCTCGGCCAGGGGCCAGCTCGGTGCTGTAGCGAAAGCGGCTCGACTCCAAGACAGCCACAATCTCCTGCCCTAGCTGAGAGTATGCACTCTCTACAAACACAAGGACCACAGGCTCGGTTCGAGCTGTCTCTGGAGGCCTGGGGGGCCGGGGTGGGACTGGAGCCCGTGCCGGGCCAGGGCCAGCTGCCCCACTACTGCTGCAGTCTCCCAAGGGCAAGGGCAAGGGTTCCTTGGCTTTGGGGCTGGTAGACACATAGTATGCTAGGAAGCCCATGGAGCCCAGACTGAAAGCGATCAGCAGCAGTACGAGGCGGTGCAGTTCCAGCTGCCGAGCTGGGCGTACCACCTTCCACAGCTGGAGCATGGCGGGCAAGGGGAGACAGGGAATGGGACCACCCCAGGGGATGGGAGGTAGGAGTTCTATAAGCTGGGGCTCTCTTGGGAGGGTGAAGGATGGGAAAATAGAGGGGAAAGGGATCGTTTTAGGGACACATCCCTGAAGAGGTGGACACAAATCTCCTTAGTATGGGACAAGGGAGGTAGACAGGGCAGCGCAGGGCCACTGGACAGATTCCATTGGTCTCAGGTCACCATGTCCCCCTGGCCCATGGTTTTAGGCTGCAAATCTGGCCAGGTCCTGACTGAGCTCCTCACATTAGAAGTCAGCAATGTTCACAATCTCTGTCCCAACCAACTATCTGAAAGACAGAGAAAGGAAGGGTTATTCTCCTCATAAAAACCTGTCATTAATCCATTTCCCTCCTCAACTCATCTCTCTTACCTGCTCACTGATTCGTTTTCGAAAAACAAGCTCCTGTAGAAAAAGACAAGTTATGTCTCATCCCTTCGTTTCTGTTTACAAACCTTTTCTTAGAAGACTGTCCAAATTCTCCGAGGCACTCAGAGCTGGAGCGAGTTTACCTAAGGGCTCCAAGAGGACATGTCTCCCATCAAGTGGCCAAGTAGCCCAGGAAGCTGGAGATGAAACTGCTCTGACAGGTCCCAGCCCCTGAACAGTGGGTCAGGCGGCAGAGGGGTCTGGTCTCCCTGTGAAGAAGTCTCCAAAGTCTCATGCTTCAACGAAATATCAGATAAGAGGAAACTCATGATCCTGTTAATCGTCCTCATCTCTCAATCTCAATGTCACAGCCTTAACAGCACTAACGAAATTTACAGTCAGATGGACACTACAGGGGGGCAGTTCACAGGACATTATTCTGTTAGCCTTCAAACTCAGAACTAAAAGTCTCTGGGTTTATTATTGCTTGTGAAAAATGGCCAAAACCCTGCCCTCCTGGAGCCCTGGTCAGTGGCTGTGTTTGGCTGTTAAGCAGAAGGTCGGTAGTTCCTTGAGAGAGAGAAGTGGCGGTCTGCTTCTGGAAAGATCAGTCTTGGAAACCCTGTAGAGCAGCTCTTCTCTGTCCTATGGGGTCGCTGGAAGTTGGAATTGATGAGGTTTTTTTTTTTTTCTTCTCCCTCTCCTCCCCTGTGAGAGGAGCTAACAATGCAGCTCAGGAGCAGGCCACATCCCTGGGACCTGAGCGAAGGCAGAGTCCTTAGAGTGCTTGCTGATTAGTCTCTCACCCTACCCATTCCCCTTCTTCCAAGCCTAGCCTCTTGTGTAACAGTGAAACCCACCCGTGAGAGTCAATGGGACTGCCTTGCTTTTCCAGGTCTCAGAAGTAGTTTTGCACCTTTGATAGAGTGCGATCTACCACTTTTTAATAGCTTTTTAGAGGAAAAGATTTACCTTAGTTTTCCTTTTCTGGTAGTTTCCACCTTACACTGGTTCTGGCTTCAGCGGCCAGGTTTTACTGTATTATATGTGTCCATTCCTGTCCCCAAGGTAGCTTAGCCAGACAGGAAGGATTCAGAGTCCTGTTATAAAAACTGAGCAAAAGAAGTGGGGCTGGATAACCAGGAGCAACAGGAACCTAAGCCGTATCTAACCAACCAGGGGAAGGAGGGCAATGTAGTCAGAAAACAGAGTTGTAAGTAGACCTACTTTGGGGGACTTTTTTTTCTTTAAAAAGTACACAGCTTCTGGGAGCTTTATTCCCGCTCTCCTCACCTGAGCCACTCCTAGGAAGGGCATTTGCTGGCAAGCCCACTCTACCACTGCCCCCATCTCAGGGTGGTTAGGCAGAGAGAGGCTCCTCCAGAATGGCGAGAAATGATTACACCAGAGTGCAGCTTTCGCCTGGCTTAGGACTCATTGACATGCAGGGGGCTGGGAGGGAGAATCAAAATGGTGGTGGGAAGGGATGGGACCGGCACAGTTGTGAGGAGAAATCGCAGAGGAGTGGATACTCGGGATGATCACTCACAATGTTACTAACAGTTAACATCTGTTGGAGAGCTGAATACTTGCCAGACCTCTGCTAAGAGCTTGCTATCTACTTAATGTCAGATGCCAGCTCCAGGGGGGAGGTGCTACTACGATTATCCCTACTTTACAGCTGAGTAATCTGAAGTCCTGAGAAGCTTAGGCACTTCCCGGGACCACGCTGCTTGTCTGCCAGTGGGGACACGGATTCAAACTCCTGCCAGTCGGGCTCCAAAGCCCTCGCTCTTAGCCGCGGCATTTTAGCTTCCTGCCCAGAAGCGGCAGCAATGGGGAGGGAAGGGGTGCTGAGAGAGCTTTGGGGGTTAGGCTGTGGGGCGGAATAGTATTAAAGAGTGAACGCTGGCTGGGGGCTCGTGGACGTGCAGGGGGTGGTTTCCCAGGAGGGTGAAACCGGAAGGATTATGGGGGCCTGAGCTGGGTGACGGCGGCGGGCACCGAGGGGACACAGGCATGGGGGGCTGGCACGGCGGGGACCACAGATCGAGGGGCTCTGCTGAGGGATCCAAGGGGTCACAGGTGGATCTGAAGAGCGCACCGGATGCAGGCATGGAAGGAGCGTGCTGGGCGAAGTCGGGGGTGACATCCAGGCAGGTGCTGGCCTGGGAGAGCCCCGCGGGAAGAAGGGAGCCCCGCACCACTGGGCGGGTGAGGGGGACGAGGCGGCGAGCAGGGAGGCCAGTGGAAGGGCGCAGGGTGCACTGAGCCACGCTGGGGGGCCGCCCGGGCGACCCTGTGGGTGGTTACGGTGGCAACAGTGTCTGTAGTGGGGGGAACGGGCGGGGGCCACACTCGGAGTGAGTGTGGAGCTCCCCTCAAGGGCGGCTCACCCGGCGGACTGGGCGGCGTCTCCGCTGTCCCCGGGCTCCGCCGCGTCCCGAGGCTGCCCGGCTCCCGGTGCTCGGGGCCTCGGGCCGCGTCGCGGCGGCTCCGCCATCTCCCAGCGAAGGTTCTGCCGCAGCCGGGCCCAACCACCGCTGCCGCCGGGGGAGGCGGCGCGCTGCGGCCGGCGGGGCGCGCCGGGCTCCGGGTCCGGCCTGGGCCGGCAGCCGCGCGGCAGAGGTGCGGAGGAGCCCCGCGGCCCTGCGCAGCGCTGGGCCGAGCACAGGCTCCGGGACGGCGGGCCCCGCGCCCCGCCCGCAGAGGCACCCCCCGCTCCCCGCCCGGTGGCACAGTCTGGCGAGCGTGGGCGCCGCGACCGGCGAGCAGGGGCGGGCCCAGGGCCGGGCGCGTCCATCGGCCTGCGCGGGGGGGCGGAGCGGCCCACTGCGGGGCGGGGGCGAGCTCCTGGGGCGGACCGAGACCCCCAGCCCCGCTCTTAGTGTGCTTCCCATCCCAAATTCGCCTTTGTACCGAGCAGGTGGGGTCGTTTTCTTACTCGAAAGAGGGCACAAAGGGGGCGCGAGAAGACACGTCGCAGGGCCAAGTTGAAGCCCTTGTACGCAGGGTGCAAAACTCTAAACCCCCTGGCCATACACCTCCAGTAGTTAGTAACACAACGGACTGTTTAAAGGTTATTTTATTAAATATTTTTCAGTTCAAGGTTTCATTGTAACAAAGCTATTAAGGGTCTACCAACATTCAGAACAAACACTATGTTTTAAATTATTTCTATGTCATCATGCAAAAATTCTGCATCAAATGCCTTCCATTTCCTGTTTAAAAGGTGATGTTTTGTTTTTAAGTCTATTGTCTACAGATGTTGACATTAGCCCCAGAAGAGGGAGAAGAATGCTAAGGAGAAGTGGGGCTGGAGCAGCCATATGAAGCTATGGGTCTCAATGAACTCTAAGACCATTTGTCTTCATGCCAGCAAAACCAACCCCGTGGTGAAGGTGCCTGTGTGTTGGCACTGCAGGCTGCGGGGCAGGAAAGGGCAGGGCATGCATGAGGTGCTCGGAGGAGCCTGACCGAATTCAAGCACCAGCACCTGTGGGAGGCCTTTTGCTGGCTCCAAGGTCAACCTTGGAACTGCTTCTCCCTGCCTACCCCCACCCTCCAGTTCCTGTGCCTCCTGGAGGTAGTCTGGTGGTGGGGGGCGGAGGTCTGCCTACCTTCCCCCCTCCCCAAAGTGCAGATGTTCGTGCAGACCACTCAACAGTTGCTCTTCCCTTCTCTGCTCTGCTACGTAGAGCACAGCTTTCCCCCCTGGATGGGACTCTTGGAGCATAGAGAGGGACAATGAACGTTGGGGCCCTGGTTCTGGAGCCCTCTTTTGGGGGGCATGCAAGTGGGAGTGGGGTGATGCCCATGCAGATTGTCCAGCAGTAAATCTAAACTTTAGTTGGTCAGTGAAGAGGCCTCTTTAAAGAGGCCACCTGTTGTTCTTGCCAGAGCAGTCAGGTCAATCTCCGACAGGAACAAAGATGGACGTGCAGCAAGGGAAGAGTTACAGGGAGGTGGCCCTGAGGGGAGCCTGAATGCATAGAAACAACCACCACCTGTCACCCCACGGTCTCACCCCCCCATCCCACAGGGGCACTTGGTAGAAGGCCCAGCTCCAAATGAGGATCAGCCTGGAGACCACCACCAGGAAGAGGCAGGACAAAGATGGTCCAAAAGTCAGCACAAAAACAGGACTGCCAAATGTGGCAAGGAGAGTCTTAACCAGTGGCTGGCTCGCTCCTTGCTAAGTTATAAGAAAACAAACAGGAAGCAAAGTGGCAACTCCTCTCCCTTCCTTGCCAAGGTTCAGGCCTCAATATCAGGGCCCACGTGCATTGTGCATCCTATAGAAATGGATGAATTAAGTGAGTGCATGTCAGACTAACACGAGCTTTCTCATTGGCTTCATTGCGAACACACTTCTGCAGCACCAATTCTCTTCCCTTCTACATTACATGGAACAGAGTACAGCAACGTCCGGCTCTCACACTGAGGCCACTACATCTTCGCTGCCTCCATCGCAGGCCGGGAGCTCTGCGTTCTCTCCCAAGCAGGTCAGATGGCCACGATGTTCTCATTAGCCTCATTCTGGGCACCCGTGCACGTCTGGAAGAAGTCCATTCCTATACCTGGAGCAGGCCGGCAACTCCGGGGGCTGCCATCCCATCACAGCCCCGAAGCTCTGTCAGAGTTCTTGCCTGGTCCCCCATGAGTCCGTGGGGGCCAGAGGCCAAGCTCGCCTCTTCTGGGCTGCTGGGTGAGCCCGCTGCTCATGCCAGGATGGGCATCACTCAAAATCCTGCCTTCATGCTAAGCCCAAGGGCTATCGGTGGTTTTAAAACGTATCATGGTACGGATTCCTTTTTTTTTTTAAACAATCTTTTTTTCTTTTTCGTAAATGTAAAAAACACCTCGGTACAGCAGAGATAGACATGAAGGGCGGGCGGGAGGGCTGCATGCAGGGGCGTGCATTGGCTGCTGCCGCTTTGTAATTTAATTGTTTTAAACCTCAAACGACCAGGACTGCCGCTGTCACTCAGGCCCTCCAGAGCCACTGGCTGCGAAGGTTCGACCTCCAGCTGGGATCTCCTAATGCCCCTGTCAAACAGGACAGAATGTGGTAACAACAGAGGACGCTGAGTACCCAGGGGAGTCCCAGGGAATGAAGCACACTGCACACGTGGCAAACCTGCCTGAGAAGGCGAGGGGCCAGCACACAGCTAAAGGTCAACAAGACACCACCTCACGTTTGCTGAGCACTTACTGAGTGCTTTATAGTACCTAACTTAATCCTCATAGCCCCTCAACAAAGTGGGCACCACTCTTGCCCTCTTTGCGAGTTGAGCAAACTGAGGCGCAGGGAGGAGAAATAGCCTGCCCCAGGTCACTCTATGGGCATCGCGGGCAGGGACCCTATCGCCCAGACCCCATGTACTGGCCCACACCCCTCCCCCACATGCCGCCTTCCCCCCTCCGCTTCCGCCTCAGATCCCACCTGTCCCCTCCCTGCCCCCAGGTGCACCTGTGGCTGAGCTCACTGCAGCGGTGCGGCAGGGGCCCCTGAGCAGTGATAGTGGACATTGAGCCACTTGCCATCCCGGCGGTGCCAGACCCGAGTCTCCTCCGACTGGCTGGTGCGAGGCCGGCCCTGCCCGTCGATGTACTGGGTGAGGCGGATGTAGGCGATGCAAGCAGCATCCTCCCCGATTACATGAACGTGCGGGTTCAGGATGGTGGTGTGGATGGGCTTGCTGTTCTTGGAGAGGACTGCAGGGGGCAGGGCAGAGTGGAGTAGGTAGGAGGTGCATCAGGCCTGGGGACCTGCATCTTCCTCCCAACCCCTGCTTCCCAGCCTCACCCTCCTAATTCTCACCCTCTGGCCAGCAACCATTCCTAAGAGTCTCCAAGTCCCCCCTTACACCCTCTAGGCACAATGGTCTCCAAATTGGTCTGGAAGGAAGGGAGGTGGGTGGTGGTGACTGGCAGCAGCTACAATCTTAATTAGGCATTGGGTCATGGCTTCAGGTGCATGAGCAGTAGCGCTTGGTTGGCATTGTTTTCATTATAAGATAAGGGAGTAAGTAGGTGGTTAAATCATCAGTGCACATGATATAACATTTAAACGCAGGGCCATGTGACCCTAACTGATGCTTGCATTTCATAAGGGTTGGCGTCCCTTTCCTAAGGACTGCACAGTAAGATCATGAATGTAAATTATGTAAAATAGATTTGTGATTTAAAAAAAGGGGGGGAGGGGGGGAGGGGAAGGGCACCAAAGTTAAAGTAGTCAAGAGTCACCAAAACACCAAGCTCAGGACATTCCCAGGCATCTCTGGGAGAAAGACAAAAGAATTAGGATTGCTGTTATCAGAATACACTGTGCAAATGGTGTTACTTTTATTGAGATTTACATTTGAGCTCAATTCAAGCTTAGACAGAGGCTACATGAAACCTTTCCAAGAGCTTCTATGCGCTCTGCAGTTGCTGCTGGCTAGTAGAATTTTTGTAAGAGGGCCTGGGTTTACACTTGCAGCTCAGAATAGAATGGGGTGGTGTCAGGGGAGAAAAACAGTGATAAAACGAAACTCAGAGTGGGATCGGGAAGGGCAAGAAAAAGTGAAAAGATAAACTAAACCAGGAAAAGGGGGGTTCTTGGAGCGAAGAGATAGGCGATGGTGGCAGGGATGGAGGCATGGAGTTTACTTTCCTTTACACACTGAGGTTCTACGAACTGTCCCGAGGACGCCTACATCCCCAGACATTCAGGCAGGTCCTAGCCACAAACCCCAAGCTTACAAATCACCAACAGTGAAGTACCCTGTTACTTGCTTACACAGTCTTATCCTGGTTTTAATTTCCTCTATTGTGAACCTGCAGACACACAGTGGCAGCATTACTTGCTGAGACCACCTCAAGCTAATCGCAGATGGTTTCCAACCCTTCTTCGGACGAGGTGAGAAACGTCATGAAACCCAGTGAGCCTGATTGTGGCAACTGCCCCACCAGGAGGCCGCTGCAAACTCTGCCAGTTTCCTTGGGCACGTGGGACCCTGGAGCTGTGCCTTCAAAAGGGCTAGTTTAAGACTATTGTCAGAGCACAGAAGTAAGCACACAGAACCCGGGGGGCAACAGGCAGGGAAATGGGGAAACCAGGCAGCTGGGAAGAGAAGGTGAATGGGGACAGAGGCCAGAGGGGAGAAGGGGCAAGCAGGAGTATATCAGCAGCACGAACCCACTCACGATTCTCAAAGTAAAACTTATGGAAATCCATCCCTTCCACCAGGTTACCAAGGGCCTCAGGCTCAAAGGAAGTGAGGCCAGGATCGCAAATCTTCCTGCAAGGGGGGAAAAAAACAAGTAGTCAGTCAGGCTACTATGGGGTTACCGGTCTTCTTTCCTTGTCAACAGTACCTGTCCTGCAGCTGCAAGTTAAGCAATGTACCAGGCTGGTTAAGATAGGCCGAGGTTCTTAGGGACCTGCCTGCTGGGCCGCTCAGCCCAGTCCTTTCTGTCTGCAGCCAGGATACCACCGGGGTGAGCTGACTCACAGGAGTATCTACCTAGAAGGGCTCCCGGCCTAGGGACCTGGTGTTTCACCCAGACACCTTGCGCCCAAAGTCCAGTTGTCTCTTCTCCCAAGGTCCCAGCAACCTTCTAGGAGCAAGGAAAGCCTTGGGAGATAATTTGGATCTCCAGGAAATAGATCTTTACTCACGTGTAGGCCTCAAAGTCCCCATTGTTGATGGCCTCGATCAATTGTTCTGTGATCTTAATGATCTCCTGTTTCCGCACTGTAGGGGGAAAAAACCCAGCGATTTACCTGTGTGGGACTGGGGAGGCTCCAAAGGGCTGCAGAGCCCGCCCCAGTCCTTCAAAGAGGACCCTCTAACAAAGACATTCCTCTTCTCTGTTTTTAAGGCCTTTTGTGGAAGAGAGAGCCCAGCTTTTCCCCCATCCCACACCCTACACATTCATCTCCAGCTTTTTACCTCCCTCTTCCCATCAACTGCCAAGTCTCAGCAAATACTCTCTTAACAGCTGAGGCCCCTGGCATGTCATGAATGCACTGCCGAGAGCCTGTTTATCTCGTCCCTAGCAGGCTCAACCTCTCTAAGAAATGGATTCTACCACTTCTCTCACCCGAAGGGGCTCAGTCAGGTCTCAGTCACCCCCCCACCCCACCCCCCCAGTCAGTGCTCCAGAATCCAGCCAGGGTGAGGGCTCCAAATGGCAGTGCAGAGCCCCAGGACAGATGCCGCATTCTCTTCACTCTGCGCAACTCCTCCACAAGCTTACAGGGCTTTTCTGGGATAAAGCTTCGGGAACTATACAGCTCTTCTTGACAGCCTCTCCCTAGAGAGACAGCGCCATTTACCCAGGACAGGCTTTGGCAAAGCTATGAGTCTCATGCCAGCCCTCAGACACTGAGGCACGGCTCAGATTGACAGGCGGAGTTGAGGTGCTTGAAGATCCCTCCCCCCTGGCCCCAAGACAAGGAGCTGCTGGTGACGCTCTGTGGTCATGACGTCAGCGCACTTACAGGGAGCGCCACTGTTTGCAGAGGGCCCTGCCAGGGGAAGGGAGGGCTCAGACTGAGCTCAGGCTAAGCCTGACTTCAGCCCCAGGCTGACCTAGGACTCCAGCCTTTCCCCACAGGAGCGAGAGGCTGCAAGACAAATGCAAGCGTTAGCAGAGCACCACCACTGCATGGCCAGCTGCACAGCCACGGAGCACAGGTGGACACGGGCAGGTGCAGCCAGCTGTACAGCCAGGAAGGGCCCGCGGCCATCTGCTCCATCAGGCGTTCTCTTCAGGTGGGTCAACGGCAGGTTAGGGGAACTGATAAGCTCCAGCCACATTCTAGAGGAAAGCAGGTGTGCAAGGACACACACACACACACACACACACACACACACGCACACGCACACGCACACACGCTCCTCTCCAATCCCACCACACCCATCTGGAAGACCTGACTGGGGCCCTCGGGGTGAAGAGGGCTGTGCTTATGAACTCTCAAAGGACTGACGGGGGAGGAAGAGCAGCAGACATAGACAGCCTCTATACAGATTAAACTACAAAGTAAATTGAATTTTCAGTACAACACTAGCAGGCAGGTACATTTTAGGCCTGATTTACAGGTAATGAAACCGTAGCTCTAGGCGGTGAACCTATGTTTTTGCAGGGAGTATGGTGGGATTTGAACTCAGGTTTCTCACCCTAAACTCCAAATCATGGTATTATGCTGACCCTCAGGAAACACTACATCCCCTAAATTCTCTGCTCTCCAATTCTCACCATCACCCTCCACAAAGCCCCCCACCCCAAACTGATGTCTGCCTCCACCCTTGTTCCTGGCTCAGTGCTGAGGCAAGGCCCCTGGCATGTCCCAGTGGCCCTCCGCTACCCGCCCCCTCCACGCCACGCCCCTCCTCCCACTCTACTTATGTGTTTTTGGGCCCCAGCCTCAGGGGCCACTGGCCAACCTGCCTCCCCCCCTCCCCCTTAGGTTTAACAGTGCCTCTAAACAGCTCCCCCCCCCTAGCAGAGCCATGCTCCCAAAGCTTACTAAGACGGGCAGCTGGGCTGGGCGGACAGCTCTGGTGGGGATCCCTGAGGGGCTTCAGGACGAGCCAGGGAGACGGAAGCCAGAAAGTGCCTCCCTCACACTTACTGGCTGAGGAGCAGAGAGAAGGCTGGGGCTGCATGCCTGTAGAGGGGGCTGTTCTGTCCCGGGAGCTCCGTCCTTCAGGCACCGAGCTGCCATTCCCAGTGCGGAGCGGGGCAGCTAGCCGGGCCAGGCAGGGCAGGGCAAGGCAGAGCAGCCAAAACAAACAGAACAAGGCAGGTGAGCGAGCAAGCCGGGTAGGACCTGAGCCCGTGGCGCTGCAGAGCCAGGGCCAGGCGGCGCCGCCTCGGGCTGCTGTGGACACTGGACCACATCCCACGCTGCTGCCTTTGCCTGAGAGGCCTCCCAGATGAGAGCCCCAGGAAGGCCCAGGGCCCTGGGCTCATGGCTTCCAGAGGAGCCTTTCCACAGCCCGGACAAGGACTCCTGCTCTCAGGGCAGCTGCTTCAGGGGCAAGGCCACAAGAGCCCCACAGGGAGGGGCCTCTGACTCTGCTCCCATCTAGCCAACTTGGATCTCAGCAGCCCTGGCGGCACTGTTCCTCAAAGGCTCCACACTAACCCCAGTGCTGCAGTCTTGACCCAACTCCCAGGGACCCTGGAGGGCAGGGCGGAGCTGTCTGACAGGGTCTCCACACCTTCCCATGAGGTGGCCGGTGGGCTCAAAGGATTAGCAGTGGGACGCTTTAACCACTGCACCACCATAGCTCTTTTAGAAATTATTTATTTTATTTATTTACTTAAGTTCCAAAGGTTTGGTTTCTCCTTACTGTCTGCGGTGTCCCTCCATCCTTTTCTGGTCACGTCACTTACTGGAATAGGGGAGCAATTCCCGAGGCCAAAGTAAAGTGGTGGGAGAGAGTCTCCCAGGGGCTGGGCTGCCGCTCCCTCCCACACCCCGTGGCACTAGAGTCCACTCCAAGTTTAGGCTGTCACTCCTAAAAGATGCAAAGATGCAAAAGTGGTCTGATAGGTATCAGAGTTCATCACCCCTGCCAGGGCCTTCTGATTCCGGTGACCAATTCATTCCAGTTTGCCTAAAACAGTCTTGTTTTTTAAATGGAAGGTTTGGCATCAATTTAAAATTGATGGGCTCTGGCCTACGAGATGGTGCCCGAGAGGCGAGGGATATATTCCATATCCCAGGAGTCCCTCAGTCTGGGAAAACCAGGAAAACCGGAGTCATTCTACTTGTGACTCAGATATGTATAGGCTCCTTCTGTAGGGTCTTGAAATGCCCTATTCTGGGATGCCATGTCTTTATAACAATAGCAAGAGTTCTCTGAGCCTTAGCCTCTAAAGAGGCTCAGGAAAATCTTTAGTTTGGCCAAGATAGATTTAGGGGTCAAAGAAGAGAAATTTCTTCTCGACCCAGAAGCCCCAGACAAGGAGCTCATATTTTGGTCCAAAGAAAGTAGCTTTTATGCCAAGCTCTCTCCTGGGTCGAGAGGAGGCATCATTTCAGTTCTTGGGGCAGACAAGGCAGGTGCCCCATTAAAGCCAAGGTATTTGGGTCACTGCTGGGGCCCCTTCCCCCACCAAGGGCCCGACACCTACCTTTAAGGTCCTCATCTTCTGTGGTGGTGTTGCAGCTCTCTGTGGAGCCCTATGGGTCAGAAAGAACAAACTGCTGTTCACTAGAGCCCCTGGAAACCGGGGGAGCCAAGCACAGAGTCTATGCTCCCATAGGAGGGCAAGGAGGGACATCACAGAAAGTTCTACTGCTACTCCTGCCACCTGACTCATGAAGCCCTACATTCCCAACAGCCTCACTCTCAAACACAGAGCATTGTGATCCTGATTAGGCGGGATCACACTCAATACTGGCCAGCCGGCCTCCCTTAGACCCAACTTGGATTTGCTCTAGGCGCCGGCATCTCTGGCTTGAGCCTGGCTCTTTGGATACCGATGGAGGTCTTTCCTTCTCCCTGCTCACTGTGGCTTCTGATCTTTCCAGTGCTGTTCTGCCTTTACCACTTCGTTTCGTCTTGGTCCTCGCGTGTGGCTGTTGGGTCTAACAGTTGGTGAAGCACCGGAGGAGTGGACGCACACGATAGCAACTGATGTGGGGGTTTGTGGGGGATGGGCGGGGAGGCGGGGAGGGTGAGGGGGTTTCGGGAGTAAACAGTGAAGGCGGGAGAGGGAGGGAGTACAAGAACTGAATGTGATGATGACACAGCTCATTTTAAAGGTGTGTGGGGGGGGGGACGACAAAAAAAGAAAATGTCCTGAAATTATTTGTGGCAATGATTGTGCAATTCTTGACATGATTGAACAACTGAATGGTATGATGTGGATTATGTGTCAATAAAACAAAAAAAGAAAAAAACACAACTACATTCCCAAGTTTCCTCCAAGACTCTTACATACTCCTCTCATTGGGCCAGAGCCTGGAGTTAGCCTGAACCTCAGTGTCCTGTCTCGTAGGATCCCAGTCTCCTGTCTCGTTCCTCCATCTGCACGCTCACCTCCCTCCAAGTCACAGCTACCATCATTTTTGTACCGGAACAAGGAGCCCAGCTTCCTGGTCTCCCTGCTTCAATGTTTGCCTCCTCCCTGGAGCTGGCCCGCACCACGGCTTTTTTTCAAACATAAACCTGGTTGTATGAACTCCCTGGATTAGAACTGAGGGGTTCTCACCTGCTCTTCCAGCGCCGTCACCCTCCCACTACAGCTCGTGCCCACCACGCTGCTCGCTCGACTCCCTGTCTTCTCTTCCTCACACTTGCCACAGCTCCGTCTGCGCCGGGCACTCTGCCCGACTCTGCCTGCTGCCTCCTTCCTGCTGTTCAGATTTTAGCCCAAATATCACCTCCTGAGAGACCCTTTTCGGACCACCAAGTTTAAGGCCTCAGAGACTATCTCTTTACTTTGTACCACTTCCTTCACAGGATTTCTATAATTGGATTTTACCTTTATTATTGCTTCCCCTCCATCCCCTCACCTAAACTGTCCCTAGGGACAAAGGCCTCCACCTTGTCACCTCTGTAAGCCAGATGATATTTGGGCTCAATGTTTACTAAACATTAGCGACACTAAGGAGACAAGACAGCTGAGGGCTTAAAGAGGGGAGAGGGTGGAAAATGCTCTAGGGTCTGAATATCCCCTTGCCTCTGTCGTTAACACTGACTCCCATTTAAACATCACCATTCAGGGAGGAAGGTTCTATTCTTATCCCCGATTCATCAGTAAGGAAACGGAGGTGCAGAGGGTGTAAGTGACTTCTTAGTGCCAAAGAGCCAGGTCTGTCGGACCACAGAACACTCACTCGGAATCACGAAGCACAATGCCCTTTCTAGGCGGGTACCACCAAACAGACACGGTACCTTCAGCCCAGACTCCGCAAACACTTGACCGCACAGGTTGCCAGCCACAGGGTCAGTTGCTCCCGTGACCCAGCTTGCCTGTGTCCTGCTGCCCCGCAAAGCAGGACATGGCTCCAGGGCTACTCACCTTGATGCCATCTGTGGCATTGTGTACCACGGTGGTTTGTGGCTCCTGTGGGGGAAGAGGAGAATTACCCTCTGGACGTGGGCTCAGACCTCCAGACAGCTCTTCTCTGTGGGACCCTGCCCTCTACCTGGTACTGCTTTACCCCTATGATGTAGACCCTTACGATGATCGCCCCGGCCTGGCTACAGGATAAAATGTTCTGCCTCAGTTGGGGATCGTGGGGTCTGGATTTAAAGGGAAGGCAGTGACTAGTCGGAAGGAGAAGCCTGGAACTTAGTGGAACCACAGAAGGCAAGGGGACAGAGGATGTGGTCCCGATTCATGCTGCTTCTGATGCTCTTCTCCCAGGGGTGGCCCACGAGGCAAATGCACTGGAGGAACTGTGGACCCAAGGACCCGGGCCAGGCCTGCTAGCCGTGACCATCAAGGGGGGTGTGGGAGGCAGGGACACAGGGAGAGCCCATGATGAGGTCTTCCAGAAAGACCAGATCCACAGAGCTGCCCGCTTCACACCCCCTCTGCCTTCCGTCGAGTTCCTGTCCCCACAGCACCGAGTCAGGCTGCACGAGAGTCTGCCAGAAGTCAAGGAGCACCCCCACCCCAGCTCGCCCACCCTGCAGCTCCTGTGGCCCAGAGAGCCCCCAGAGTCCCTGGAAGAGCCCAGGAAGAACTCAGACAGCACGAGCTCCCTAGAAACCCAATGGCCTGCATCATCCAGAAGGCGGGGTGGGTGGGGGTGGGGGCCCTCCACAGTGCAGGCTTTGCAAAGGAGAAGCTGAGGCAAGTTTTATGAGGCGACTTTATGAGAACGGATGGTCCCAAGAAAGCTTCGACTCGCTCCTTGTATAAGCAACTCACCTTCCCGGCCCACACAGCAGACCCATTCATTAGGGGTCCCCGGTGGGGGCTGGGAGATTCAGCAGAGAGCCTTGATCACTCTTCCCACCCACCCCCAACAGCAAAAGGAGCAGGAACAGCACTTCTGCCGTGCAGGAAGGGACATGGCCAGGGAGGGACAATGGCGGGGGATGGATGCTCGGGCATACACAGCAGCCTACTCTAAAGGGACCACGAGGGAAAAGGCTGAGGCAGTGTGGGAAGGGGGGAGGAAGAGGAAGGAGAGGAGCAGGAGGCAGCCAGGGCAGAGGCGGAACAGCTGTAGTCAGGAGGTACCATGGCCGTCTGCAAGGGCGCGGGCTCTTGGGCTGGGTTTACGAGACTGTTTTTGTTGTTGCTCTGTGGCTGAGACAAGAAAACAGATGGTTTAGTTCCTCCAGACTCAGAAAGCAGCTCAGATCTGATTCCCAGCCCTCCCGTGCCCCCTAGGCCGAAAGAGCTCGGCCTGATGTGCCCTCCCTAACACGAAGGGGCCTGGGAGATGGTTGGAGAGAGGAACAGAAGGAGGCGTCCTCAAGTGGGCCCAGCCCAGAGACACGGTTTAAAGCATCTTTCCCCGTGCCATCTCCATCACAGTCGAACCTGACCGAAAGGAACGCAGAGCCTTCTCCGCTTTACCCGACAAGGAGAGAAGTGGGGTTTACAAGGCAGTGAAGCCCCCGAGACTCACATTTGTGGGCAGCACCTGCTGCTCTTTTCTAGACCAGGATTTCCTCCCTCCTCCTTACAAACCCAGTTTGAACTGAAAAGGAATAAGAAGAGAAAGAACACCTGGCCCAGGAGCTGGTGTCCAGAAAGGCCAGGGATAGAATTCAGTACTGGCTACCAAATGCACCCTGAGCCCAGGGCACAGAGAGGGCTGTGCAGGTGCCCTTTCTGCCTGGCAGATCTTCAAGGAGGTGGCAGGTGAGCTCGGGTGGGAGCTGAGTAGGAGTACGCCACCCTTCCAAACAGACAGACCCTTGTCTTTCAAAGTGACCCAGTCCCCCGGGTATGAAGCCAGTCAATACGCTGCCTCTTCTGAGTGCCTCACCAGTACACTCAAGGTTCCCCTGGGGAGAGGGGGGGGGCAATGTGTCCCAGCAAGATCAGAGATCACAGGGGGGCGGCCTGATGCCTCCAAGTTCTTCAAGAGGCAGAGGAACCAACACGAGGCTCTGGTCCCCGGGAGGGTGCGGAGAGGACACTGTCACAGCTACGGCACGAGTCTTTTCTCCTAGCCGTCCAGGCTGGCCGGCTTCTTGCCCAGAGGTCTCTCTTAAGGCCCCTTGGGCCAGACTAGAAGCTATCTACCCTGGTGTCCTGTCAGCGGCTGAGTCAATGCCCAGATCCAGGGCTCAGCACAGAACCTCAAGTCATGCCCTAAGCCTGCGCTCTGCAGGGCAGAAAGAGGAGGTCCCAGCAACAGTCCGGCTGAAGCTCTACAGTCCCCAGTCACAGGCCTCTTCCCTTGCAACCTGGAAGGGGCGGAGCTCTAGTCTGGCTGCCAGGGCTGGCCGGAGAAGACTATCCTGTCTGCAAAGGCCAGCGGCGCGAAAGTCCCCCAGGGGTCAAGGACTCCAGGGGGCCCAAGAATGGCACTCTCTCCCAAGGTGTGGGTATCACCCGAGCAGCTCCAGCTGCGGCTTTAACGGACAGTTTCCTAATGACTCCAGGCTGCGGCGGACGTTCCCACTGAAGCCGTGTCCATGAGAAAGAAGATACATTCGTTTGGTAGACCCCGAAGGCTGGGTGGGAAGAGTGAAATGTGGGGCACAGCCTGAGAATGGGCACTTGCACCAGGGAAAAGGCCAGGAGAGCAGGGCTCAGTGCCACGAGCCTACAACCAGCTCATCTGCCACCTTCCAGATGTCCACGGCCCACAGGCCTGTTGAAAGAAGCAGCTACTGCCAGTGGGCAGGCCTCTCCTCCTGAGCGACGGTGAGGTGGCGGGCTGGGGTTAGGGGGCCCTCCCTGACCTTGCCTCCTGGCCCCAAGTCTGCCAGCTTTACTTCCTGCCCTGACCTGCAGGGGGGCCGACAGCCTCCACAGCAGGGGGTGCCTCACCACCTGTTCCAACGTCCATTGTCTAGGCCACTGGTGACCTTGGGCAATGGCCCCCCGCCTGGCAGGCCAGGCCACAGCTGCCCACACAGCACAGACATGCAGTGAGGATGAGTGGAGCACACACACGCGCGGCAATGGGCTTGCGTGGCTGGCAGGCGGGTGCAGGCAGCATGGAGGAGGCGGATGGGTGGGCAGGCAAGGCTCACCATCAGGTGCACGCTGGAGCTCGACTTCCTTTTCTGGACACACCACAGCGAAAGGGAAAGAAGGGGAAAGACGAGGTAAGAAGAGAAGCACAGAGACGCTGAGATTAGTGCGCGGCACGGCTCTGCACCAGGGGAGAGAAGAGCGGAAGGAGGAGCCTCCGAGTCCAGCACCAGCGGGGTTACCACAGCACCTATGCACACGCAGCCCGAGAGGAAGGACCCATTTGCGGCCAGGGTCACAGACACAGACCCAGTATCTTCTGAGATGGCCCAGCTTGGCCCAGAAGGCTTCCACAAGTCTATCAGGTAAGTAATGTCTTGCTGTCCCTTCTCAGACTTGGGCTGTAAGGCTTACTTGTACGAAGTTACTTATTTTCTCTGTCTGAAAGTGGCGTCAGCAGCGAAGAGGGAACTAGCACAGGCCACCAGTTTGAAAATGCATTTGAGGTTTTTAACACTTCAAACCAAAGCATCATTTATTTAAAAGCACACAAGTTAAAACGCGAAGCTGGGTTGTGCTCGGCTTAATACGTCTGACTTGTTTTTTCACATGGAGATGCAGAGCTTTTGAAAGGCATCTGATGAGCAGTCAGAGGCTGGCAGACCGTTCTTGTTAGGACAGCTGTCCCCGTTTATTTGATCTGAACGCTCTATTGCATTTGGTTATTAGTAGGAAATGGAAAGATAAAAGTGCAGGTCTCACAAAGAGACAGATGTCAAGCATGAGGAAGGCTGTGAGCAATGTTGGGTTTTTTTGGCTTCAATTAGATGCTCACTGGACTTTATGTCCAAATGTGAACCAAGAGCTCAGGGTTAAAGCCACACTGAAAACATCTCTCAGAAGACTGTCTAGCTGGTGAAGGGTACTTAGGAATTTTATAATCAGCTCCCCGAGTGACAAAAATGCCCCTTGGAACATTGTGTTTACTGTTTGACTTCTGCACGTTAATTTAACAGCATCCAACACATATGCACTGTGGGCTGTTCTAGGCACTGGAGATAGAGCACTGAACAGATCAGGAAAATGCTCCTGTCTTCAAGGCGCTTACAAGCTACTGTAGAAGATGTTTTAGGGGATATACCATATTCAAAAGCAGGGAACTATACATACTTAGAAGAATGGCCTAGATTTAAAGAAAAACCTAAATTAGGTATTATTTCTATCAATTTTTCCTAGCTGCCTCCACATGAGACTTATTCCAAAATATCCTTCGGAAAAGAGAGTTCCGTTACAGGCACCTCCGTGCGATCCACCTAGTCTAGACTGAACGAGACAGAGGCTTCCTTCCTCGAGGGAAGGACCATGTCTTCTCTCTGGACCTCACCGGCATCCGCAGCGTACCTTCACAGTTAGGACATGAGGACCACGGTGTGTTGAGTTGAAGAGTAAGCTAGCAAATTGGTTTTGCTGTCTGCTTGTCAACCTAAAAAAAGAACAGATTCCCAACTTTCTCAGCGTTGGTTCGCTGTTTCCTAAACTGTGCCGCATGATAACGCTATATAATCTTCCACCACTCGAAAGTTGCTTCCCAGGTCAGTGGATAACTTTGAACTTCTCTTGACTTCTTTCAGCCACACACAGCTTGGGCACCTTCTCAACCAGCACAGGGCCAGCACTACTGGAAGAGCCAAACCTTTTTTTTTTTTTTTTTAAAAACAACCTTTACTTCACCATTATTATTTTTTTTTTTTAAATTGAGATTTTTAAACTAAAAATAAAGGAGAAAAAATTTAAAAGGGTCCAGCCTCCTTTTTAAGTTATTTATACAAATATTCAAATAATACTTACAGAAATAAAAATATCCTTGTTTTCCTTTCTTCCTTTCCTTTTTTTTTTTTAAAAAAAAAGATCAGTAGGATGCACAAGTTGTCCTAGATCCGTGTTTTCTAAAGAGGGCAATACCACCCTCTGGGGGGATGCTGGAACGATGGTAGGTGCTGGCACTATAGAAGGGCCAGAGCAGATACCTACACCTTATCTGGATCATGGGCTACAGCACAGAAGTTTTTCATTAGGAGGATGAGGGGAAAGAAGCAATGAGTCCTTTTTTAATCCCCTTTTCGGAGAAGAGGGCAGTAGTTTCAAATCCGTTTGAGAAGCAATGCCTCCTGGGATTGCGAACTGGGCACTTAAGTCTTGTCCTCAGAAGTGGTGCCCGCAGTTCTACAGAGGCTGGGTCCTTGGCATCCATTCTCAAAGACAAGTGAGCAGAACCCGAAGTTCTTCAACGAAAAGGCACAAGGTAGACAAGGTGCTCCAACGGATGCTCACGTTTCTAGCATCTTGCCGAAGGAGTGAAGGTGACAGAGAAATCTCCCTCTGAACGCTTTAAACAACAACAACCCCACTCCCTGGCCAAAGCCATTCAGACTCGAAGTAACCCTACAGGGCAAAGACAATACAAAGCCACAATCTCCGCAGAATCACATCTGAGCATCTTCCTCTCACAGAGCAGTGGGTTCAAATGGCCAGCCTTTCAGTTGGCAGTTGAATGCTTAACCACTGTGCCACCACTTCAAACCCGCACTGAACTCACTGTCACCAGGTTGCTCTGACTCCTAGTGAGCTGGCTGGACAGAAGAGAACCGCCCCTGCCAGTTCCCAGCAGGAATGAGGGAAGGCCGGCCAGTCCCATCATTGGGGGCGGGCGGGGAAAGAAAATGTTCTCACATTGGTTGTGGTAATGATTGTACAACTCTTCTCGATATGACTGAACTACTACTGCATTGTGTGATAAGTGGGTTAAGTGACAATAAAACTGTTTATATATATAGTATTTTAATTCTGATTATAAAAGAAAATCCGCGTCCCGAGTTCCAACCAACAGGGAAGTTACTATTAACATGTTGGCGCATTTTCTTTTTTCACTGGAGACCTGTGTTTTTAAACCAAAATTTGGACTGTTCTGTATTACATTATATTTCCTTTTTTCACTTAATATAAAACATTTTCCTACATCACGATTATGTAGTAATGAAAATGAATACTTTTGTGGTTTGTTAAACAGATTTCCCCCAATGATATAATCATGCCCTTACTCTGGATTTTCAGAATGCCTCCCAGCTTTTCACGGTTATAAATGATACCTATTGAACATCTTTAGGCTTTCAGGTTTTTTTCATGTTTTGAATGAGCTTTTTGGAAAAAATTCCCATCAGTGAATGACAGGATTAAAAAGACAGGGACATATTTGGACACACAACCTGCTTTAGGAAGGCTTATTCAATTCTTATCAGCACTAGAGAAAGCAGTACGCCCGACTGGCTCCTCATTTCAACCAACCCTCCTACCTCCCACCCCCTTGTACTTCTTTGCAAACATTTTCCCATGTTTGTTAGTTTCGGATTTCCTATTTTTCATATCTTTTTGGATCACTTAGGTGCCAGGTTTTAGGAGCCCCCTCCCATCATCCTTACTGTGATTATTTCCCTCAGCCTGTCTGCTGTTGGTCTTTTAATTTTGGTTTGTCATTCTCTTCTCAAACGCCTGCTTCTTGGCGTCTGGCCCCGTCACTATGAAAACTCTCCTTAGGAGTGCACCGCATCAAGCTCGTGAGTGCAGACTAGGGTCAGACTCCAGGAGCTACTGTTTCCTTTGGTGCTTTGTGTCCCAAGAGAAAGAAGATGAATGCATTTGAGCCTTTCAAGTGGCCACCCATTGGAGGAGAGAAGTTTGGGCTTGGTTCTCCACCCATGCTCTCATTTGAAACGTTTTATCTAGGATAGAAAAATTGGGGAACCAATAAGGGCAATGACTGAATCACACAACAAATGTTTTAGTGTCACTAAACTGTGCATGTGATGACTGTTGAAATGGCAGATATCTTGCTACCTGGTGGCATAGTGCTCACCTTGGGTTGCTAACCTCAAGGTCAGCCGTTCGAAACCGCCAGCCAGCCCTCTGGAGAAAAACGGGCTTTCTACTCTGGTAAAGAGTTACAGTCTTTGGAAACTCTCAGGTCTGATAGGCATCAGGGTTGCTCTGATCGGCATCAACTTGATGGCAGTGAGTTTCTATATTTACAATTAAAATCCCTTTTGCTTTAGTCTAATAATTTTGTTTTTCCAGCCCTCATCCTTCTTGACTTCCCTGAAGATCTGACAATGTTGTGCATGCTGTTTCTACTCTGCCTCTTGGTTCTTTCTCTGATTCCGCTTTTTTTACAGCTTATTAATAAGAGACAACCCCCGAAATGTGCCTCTGCCAGACTCTTCAACCTTCCGGGGCTTTCGGTTCACCTGGGTGGAGGGAGGAGGCTTACCAAGAGCACCAGATTCTGGCTCCCATAGGAGACCTTCTGGATTTGCGGGCAAGGCCAGGCCCGGGGGTCTGTGTCTTTTTAACCAGCTATTTAGGCAAATCCTACATGCCTGGGCCTGATAATAATTTTTGAGACCAGTGTCTAGAAAGTTCTGCTAAAGACCTTGCCATAATGGCTCCTTTACTCATCCTCCCTGTCCATCTCAGTTGTCATTGTTTTATTTCAGCTCCTCCCTTGTGCAATCACTCTTCCCATGGGGCCATATAAAATTCACGGCAACCCAGGTGTAGTCAAGTCAAACAATGGGTTTTCAATGGCGGACAGAAGTTGCCAGACCTTCCTTCTTTTTATTTATTTATTTCCCAGACCTTTTTTCTGAGCAAAGTCGACAGCTCCGAGGACACTCAAACCTCTAACCTTCCAGTTACCAGCCAAGGGTGTTCGTGAATTGGTACCAGTCAGGGATCCCTTTAGCACAATGAAGCTAAGTTTGTTCCCAGAATCATCACGTAGTTTCAAACTTCTATATCTTCACATGCATTATTCTCTCTCCCTGGAACATCAAACTCATGGGTCACTTCCTTCAGAAAGATTTCCTGTTCTGGTTCGGAGGCGTCTCTATGCTTCCCCAGCCTTGCCCCCTACCTCCACCGTGTGCTTTAAAACTGGCGGCTTCCTTGTCTTTCTCCCAGTGGGAATACCTCCCTCAAAGGCATGGTTTTTCTCTTCCCAGCTTCTGCAGCACAGTGGGTATCAAATAGATGCTGCCTGACTGACCAACACGTGTCGTCCTTCCCCCTTCCCTGGGCTACTGCTAGGGCTCTGCCAACACCTCTAAAGACAAGGCCCCCCCC